ATTTTCGTTAATCGAAACAGCCCGGCCGGGCCCCGGTTTGGAAATGTGACCTCAGCATAACGTTCGATACTCAGTGTTGTGAGACAAAGCACGCTGACGAAGGCACATGTACCAAAGCTTACAAACGTTACATGTCGAGGTCTTTGAAGTACAGAGTACATTTTGTACCTTACTATACCAAAGAAACATCTGGCAAAAATATATTTTGATCCTACCTGATAAAATTGATACTTAAAAGGGGGTCAGCCTTGAAGAAAATTTAAGGGCTGATTAAAAATTCTTTTAAAAGTTTTAAAAATTGCTTTGTTCAAGAAACTGTACATGTACTGACATGTATTGTCAGTACATGTATTGAACTGACATGTATTGAAAACAGACTGCTTTGTGCCCTTGTTAAAAAACATACAAATTGTTAAATACGTGTTGAAAGATTACACCAAAGAGTTACATGCGGTGTAGGATCACCAAAAGTTACGTTGTGGGAAAACCAAAAGTTGCGGTGTTAATAACATTTGTCCGTGTCGGCCACCGAAGCCGGATTCAAGTGGCTCCATCTGAACGTTCCAAATCGCATTGAATGCGCCTCGATCCCAAAACACCTCGGGAGGTAGTTTCGAACGGGTTTCACTAGATTGCGATTTGAGTCTGAACGCAATTTGATTCCATAGTGACTTAAACGGTTTGCTTTACATATCGACCCGGTCATGGATACCACATTTTACGTGACAGAAACTTAAAGAGCAGTAATGACCGAATCATGTGCCCATTCTAGGACGACCTTCACCGCCTCTGGCGGGACCACGTCGGCATTCGGACGAGGTACGCTTTGAAGGGGGGGGGGTACCAGCAAGCAACTAGTTGACCTCTGACATAGATTTGCGTCTTTCCATCAATTACAAATGAATCTAGATCGGGTGAATCGTGCTCGGTCACGGTTTGGTAGAAATATGTGGCACGTGGACCATATGTGTAGAATGCGTTATACCCAAATTTATGGAGGTTTTGTAAACAAGGCTAAAGTTGCTCGTTCACGGTGCGTCCCCCAGAGATCAAGGCACTTTTCTGAGAGTATTTACCTAACGGTACGTTTTGGCGTGGACTGTGGACTCTTTCACCACCATCCCTCAGCGAGTTTTTAAATCTCTATTTGTAAAGGTGACCGAAATAGCTGGACAGAAGTGTGAATATAGGTGAAGCGGCGGGTGAACAGAGTCAGTCTCCCCCTCGGCAGCTGTGGGTCTAACATGTTGGGCTTCCTGCTTTCCTGTGTCATCTTTTCCGTGGGCGTCTCATCTTCACAGGGTAAGTAATTTCGACCACTGAGCCATACATAACTGTATAGAAACAAAGTGGCTGAGTTTTTTTTACAGATGAAATTTTTTACAGATGAAATACCGTTGAAATATTTGTTGCGTGTGTTTATGCTTGACGTGGTATTGTCGTACCGTTACGTCCAGGTGAGTCTGTCTACCTGACGACCCTTGGTGGGCTGGCGTTCCACAAGGTTCGTGTGCCTTAGTTTGTTCCTCTCTTATATTTCCGTTATATAGATAAACCAACAGGTCGTCGGGTCAATACGTATGATTATCATATAGCCGGGTGACGTTGATCAATCAGAAGGCTCCATTCCACATTCCTTATGACGCCGTAATGTCACAAATACAGTCAAAACCGGGTCTTTATTAATCCCAATCCATACATTAAACAACCCAATAATCACCCGCATATGACCTCAGGCGACCCATATAGAACACCGCGCCGTTCTAAAAAATAGAAAAAAATAACTTGAGTTGTGTTCTAATGACCTCGGGTGACTCCCATAAGAATACCTGTTCCCTGCCTTAGACCCATATAGAACACGACCCTCCCCCAGTGACCTCAGGTGACCCCAGATGGAACTTTGTTCTATCTAAGTTTGTATGTGTTATGCAGGAATGTATCACTTTTTACTGTGTAAGTTTTTATAGGTTATATGATAATAGCGTTAATGCCCCGCTCTTGTTCCCTGCGCTCACTAAGTGGCTTTATTCGGTAGTTATATCAACTGACAAGGCTTTATCACACCATACTCACCGAGAATGGGCGGGTCACTGTTAACCCTTGAATATCTGTTGCTTTTATTTTACCTCCATGAAAAATGTATGTATTGTTTTTTGGCGTGTCTCTCTCTCTCTGTGTGTGTGTGGGGGGGGGGTCTGTTTGTCTGTGTGTTTTCGCAACTTCGTGGTCAGCATAACTTCAAGACCCCTGCCTTTACACATGTAGATTGTGATGACATTTGGCATTTTGGTAAGTCTTAGAAAGACAAAGGACAAGATCAAATATGGGCCTCCTGGTGGCTGACCTTGGTACTGAAGCAGAACTTCCGGTTTTTGTATCTTTTGTCCTGAACATGCTGTGGTCTTGACTTTTGGTGACAGATAGCTTGTCCTGTCAGAAATACATGTACGTGGTGTGGTTTGGTCTCCCTACCAGCTTGTTCTTGATCTGCAGGGGACTTTCTGGGACTTGTGAAACCGATAAGTCCAGATAGGAACAACTTATTTTCATCATTTTTGATCTGTAGGTAGCTCAGAGAGCTTTACATAATTAGATGTAAATTATTTAAATGAAGACTTAATTTGCATGATCAAGAAGAGAATTCTGTAATTAGATTGTTTTATGTAATAGTACCTTTATGCATCTAATCTATTTGAGGTTCCGGGTCGGAGTTTAATTCTGACCAGGGTTCCAAATAGTGCGCAGTTAATCGCCGGATCTGCGAGGTTGTCACGCTAGGTTTGGCTCCCCATAGCTCGGCGATCGCTGTAGATTTTCAACTAGGTTTTGAATTGATAAAAAGCCTTGGGATTGTAGTGTTTTTCGGCGCGGTGAAGTTGGACGGCCAGCGAAGCGTTTTTGGTATTAGTCCGCGAGCAATGGTGATGCGGTTTGTCGCCTGATGACCCAAATAGCTGCGTTCTATGTGGAATTTCTAGGGGTTCGCGTCACCGGATTTTGCGAAAAACTTATCGCAACAACCTGTATTTTTTTTCTGTTTTTCAGAAACAGAAAGTAGTAAGCTATTTCAGGATATAAGCCGTTAGCCTGGGAAAATTCGTTTTTTCCAAGCAGGTCCGTTGAAAAAACTGCAAAAAACTACATTTTTCGTATCCAAAATTTACGTTTAACTACTAGTCTACAGTTTCTACCCAAATTATAGAGTCGACGGACAATAACCAAAATTGTATCGGAAGCCGGCTGGAAACCTCCGTTGACTGATGTAATGAGATTTCCCGGCGTACTTTTTTTGGCGGAGTTATAGCCCTTCGGTCTGAGTGTGTCCGCCGGATCCAAAATGGTGAAAAAAACTCCGGTCCGAGACCTTAATCTATGACAAGTGGAACATCAACAAATACCAATTATGCAAATGATGACCTAATTTGCATAATTTGTGTGAATATTCTTTGATTCCTTATTGTTGAATGATGGGAATTTTATACCTTGTGATCATGACATGTATAAGTTACATACAGGTTAACATCACTATGCATATATTATACTAATGTAGCTGTCATTTGCATAATTAATAAGGAAAAACACATATTTTTTCCGGAGATATTAGGTCTCTAAATTCCTGTTTTTAATGTTATCGTTTCGTTTTATTTATGTTTTACGTTTATTTCCAATTTTCTGTGCCATATTCGCTTTTTATGTTTTCATTTTGATTTCATTTATTTATTTGCACAAATAAAAAGCGATTATTAATCAGCAAATATGCAGACAAAGGAAAAAAAATGTCAAGAAAGGGAAAAGAAGCGTGCAAGGCTTGTACAATATCCTGCTCCTTCGTTGAAACTTAGGAAATATTAATCGTGAAACTAACATGAAAACTCATGAAACTTACATATAACATATATGTTCATTATATTATGAAAGAAATAATAACAACAAATTAATATTCATCTTAAAAAAGGTTCGCGTGTCGGGTGAGATGACAAACACCAACGTAAAAGCGACATGCGAAGGACTCGGCATGAGATACCCGTGCTTCTACAGGGGTGGTGACCGCTGTTCCAACAGCCAGTTCTACAACACGGACTGCGTGGGGTTCGACACCGTCAGTACCAACTGCGCCACCTTCAACGTCATCGCTTACGAGGTTGGTAAGGCCACACCAAGTTTAATTTGTTGGTTCTCGGATTCGCCTCTTATATTTTTTTCTGATTTAAAAAAAATATTCTGGTCCTGCATCAACTCAAAAATGCTCAATATTTTACCCCCAACAGTTGATGAACGTCCTTTTCTTCCTAGTTGTTACAGTTTTTCCATCTATCAATGCAGTGATTTGATTAAGAGTTCAAAATTCAATGTTTAAATATTGACCTAGAAGTTTGTGTTGGCTTCATGGCTCCTGTCGTAGCATTTGTGGCTATAATAGGATTCCTAGACCTGCTTAATTTTATTTTTTTTTTGCCCTGTCGCTTCATATCTTTTTCGAAAATCAGAGAACCAACAAATTAAATTGGTGTGGCCTAACAGTGGAATTGTACATCTTATATGTTCTTAGGGATTTTTGGTCAACATAGGGGTCAGGAACAGAAGGGTACTTCCGCTGTGCAAGTCGCGCATTGAGCCGAAAAATTAAGAAACTCTCAACCCCCTGAGATATTATTTCAGATTGTGTGAAGTTAAGGTTTTCCTTTCGCTACAGCTTCATTCTAAAGTTATAGTCTAATTTGTAGCAAGATTTATGAAGGTCCCCCTCCCAACAGTGTTCTCTCATTCCATTTGTGTACTAATATTTGTCGCCCCTAAGTATATTTAAAATCTAGTCACTATGTTTTTTGTCCCTTCTTGTTGTTTTTTTCGCGCTCTCGTATTAGATTAAGGTTTTCCAGAGGACGTTATCCGTAAAAAGTACTTGATGTGGCCTAAACAACTTAATCACCCCAGGTGTGCCCCGGTGTTGTGAACTCGTACAACTGCCCCGCACTGGATGACGTGTTCCTGTACCGCCGGTACTGGACTTCCGGGGACGGCGCCTACGGGCTGGACCACCAGACTACCAGTTACGTGTCTGGAGCGGGCCAGTTCAACATGTGGGCCCTCTGTACAGGTAAGGCACAAAATTTACGTGGCAGCAACTTAAAAAGAGCAGTAATAACCGAATAATGTGGCCATTCAAAGACGAGCTTCACCACCGGACCACGTCAGCATTCGGCCGAAGTGCTGTGGGAGAGGGGAGGGGGGGGG